ATTGCTGCCAATGGTGATTGTCACAATGGCAGGAGTGTGTTGGGATATGACGAAATATGAGTTTTTACGTTCCAAAAAGAAACTATTCAAGTACAAAGTTTTCAACACGTACGATCGGACTTTGATCGTGATGTCGGGATTCGACACAAGTATGCCGGACACAAGTCTGTCAGACAATCTACATCCAAACAAAAAGGGAATGACCCTATACAAGTGAGATATTGATGTTGTGTACAATGCAGTAGGGAATAATACAAGATGTCCCAAAGTACTGCATCCAACACAGAATTGTCGTAGAGGTCGAATCAAGTTCTGTAAACAAGGGATTTTCCAAGGGAAAATCAAATATTGTTGAACTTACTTTTGTGATTGAATCATCAATTCAAGCCAAATATTAATCAAATAGGAACAATTTCACTCAAAGTATACCTAGACACAGGAGAACTATTGTGGTGAAAGTGTTGTACAGTGGATTACAAATTTAGATTGCAGAGAGTTTGTTCTGAGCGCTAAAGGCACTCACGATAGAGCACAAAGTACTGCATCCAACACAGAATTGTCGTAGAGGTTGAATCAAGTTCTGTAAACAAGGGATTTTCCAAGGGAAAATCAAAAATTGTTGAACTTACTTTTGTGATTGAATCATCAATTCAAGCCAAATATTAATCAAATAGGAACAATTTCACTCAAAGTATACCTAGACACAGGAGAACTATTGTGGTGAAAGTGTTGTACAGTGGATTACAAATTTAGATTGCAGAGAGTTTGTTCTGAGCGCTAAAGGCACTCACGATAGAGCACATTTTGCTTTATTCTAACAAACGCGTTTGATAACAATAAACGCAATGTCTATGTTAGAAGTAAGCGATCCACTTCCGCCTGCAATCTACCTGTTCAATTGACTGCGATTTAGCTGTCCAGGTATTGTTGCCTTCTAAGTATATGAATTTACAGTATATAGAAGTATATAGACCTATCAGAGATCCTACTTTATCAACCAATTCACTCATTGCTTGCAATATATTGTAAAAAGTGAGAACAGTCTGTCAACTTTTGACTTTGACTCTTTCTTCTCCAGCTCAGTGGAAATTCTCAGAATTCTCTCTACCTCAGCCTGATATGCTGCAAGTTCAATCTGTTTATCTGTTCACCTTCCACTGTAGTCAGTACTTTGATCAGTATCCAACTTTGGTTCTTGCTTGATTCTTGCTTTCTTACATCATCAACAGTAAGATTTCCATAGAAATATAATTTCTTTTCTGACTTGCCACGCGCAATATTTTTAGTCGCATCAGTCTTCATTTTTAGTCGTATCAGTTGACATCATTTCTCTATGGTTCACATGTATTCTCTTTTTCTCGTTTCTCCAAATATGTACTTAAAAAATCCTAACACACTCCTACCGTTTCATTAACATAATTGATGACAACAGAACATCAAAGGAAATTGCGTTGCTCCTAATCTTGTTCTCCTTGGATCAATGATCTGAATTCCAAGAACTTTTGTCCCTGTAGAGGTTTGCCCACAAAATCTTCCCACATCTTTTCAGTTGGACAATATTCAATAGTCACATTTCCTTTCTTGACTTGATCAGTCATAAAAAAATATTGAATGTTTAAAGCTCGGCTTTGCTTTCCAGCACTATCACGTCCATTATTTTCCAACAGAAAAGATCTCTTGTTATCCTGATATAGGATGTTCTCATCAATAGGGTAACCTTGTGCTTCCACAAACAATTTTGTCCACAATATCTGTGTCGCAGCATCATCAACACCAATCAATTCGGCTTCTGTCAAACTTTGACTGTTCAACTTCTGCCTCTTTGAGATTATTTGTAATCCTCCTTCACCCAGTCAATACACCTCCATCGGGAAAAAAAGTCAGTTGATATTTAAGGGACCATGCCCCAAAATCAGCAGGGCGTGTATTTTTGGGGCTTGGGTTGCCTCCCCTAGAATTGATGAAGGCAATATTTTCAGAGAGCCCATGTGATTATGAAGCATTCTGTGATTTGTCACTTTGTTTGTCACTTTGCGACCTCTGACATTCAGCTTAACCATGTCCTACTTTCAGAGAACCCTTCTTATCAACAGAATATTTACCAGGCTCAGGACTTGGTAGATCTGTTTTTGGATTCTCAGCCGGGTGACCACAATGATTTCCCAGAGGGAGGAGAGGAAGAGGTACTCAGTGATGTATCCATGGAAGATAACGACAGCGTGTCTCTTGAGCTTGACTATTCCCCAATTATCTCAGACATGACTCTAAAGCCATCAAACAGTCTTCCAATGAACACTTATTTTATCCATCCATCACCCGGTCAAGCAAACTTTTCAAAGGATTCACCGTTGTCCAAGGCAGAGTTCAATGAACAAACACCCCCATCCACCAAACTGCTAGCAACAATTCACCAGCAAGTAAAAACAAAGCAACAATTTGCCTGTTGGTACCTGCTATCAAAGTTTTTCCCACCCAACAACTTTTTACCAAGCCGATCAAGTTGCACTATTGTCACAACAGAAGAGTTTCATGGCATGGACCCCACAAGAGGAGAATGTTGATTAGTTTGCTGCAGCAAGCCTGTCTATTTTATCAAAATACTGCCAGAGTTGCGATCAAAGTCTGAATGAGGCCTCGACTCAATCATGCCACAATCAACCTCTGTTGGTCAAACCGTCCCGTTTTGTTCCCCTCCCAGCTTTCAGGTCCCCTGAGGGTCCTGCATGCAAAGAAGATCAAGCTCCTGTCTATTGTTCAACCAATTCAGGCTGGAGGATTGCCTACTTTGCCTTTGATGCGAAGGTTTTTGGATTTTCATTGTGGTTGCCATAGATTTCCTAGCTTTCTTCAATCAGCTCCAGTGGCCGCCATGACAGCAAACACTCACTTAACAACACACCAACCACTTCTTTGGATCCTGATGGATGAAGCTGTCCAGAAGTTGCCCATAAATTCTATTTAGATCTAGATCTAGATCCAGAAATTAGGTGGCAGCTCTGAAAAGCTTCAAGTTTGATGAAAATTCTGAAATAGCCCACCTATTGTTATAACTTCATTCAATTTCTGTAGTCTATATTATATTTGTCACCAATATTGGTGTCTAAGAATGCTGGTTTGGCTGGAACGGGAGAATTCTAGGTAGAAATGCTCCAAGAACCGAATTCACTTGAGGTGGACTCGAAGAGATTCTTGGCTACATCCGGAATGTTTGCCAAGTGTGTGCGGCTGTAGCATTTTTACCTCAAGATACCTATACAAACGTATCAACCTTGCCAGGTACATCAATGCACAACAAATATTAGTTTGAATAAAGCAATTCAAAGCAATTTGGTCAACAATTTGGCCAGATCACCCCAGATCATGCTTTGGGGCAACAAACTTACATCTTATTCAAACTTCCCATTTGCTTTGGTACCTTGATCTAGATAGGCCAAATCTATCAATAGGTCCAGTAATTCTTTGTCCATTACAGGAAGTAAAAGGAACTAGCAGATTGTTGTTCGGGTTTCTGTCTCCATGGTGCCAGGAGGACCCGCCAAAACCGAGCAAACTCCTAATATTACCAATCCAACTCATCATATTGGTCAACATTTATATGCCAAAGGTCGAATTCTTCTTCCGCTAACGACGCACTTGCTCAAAATATATGCAGAGAAGAGATTGGTGTATTGTTGTTTTTTGTTGCGGCTTTCTGGGTCCACCAACGCCAGTTTCCCAAGAGCAACAGATTCTGGTGATAGGGCTTGAGTTCAAATTCGGCACCAGACCACGCCATCAGGCACCGTCTTCCTGCATCTAGGTTCGTCTTCATACACAAAGTTGATGATGCATGTGCGCCCTAGACGGTGCCTATGAACTTCTGACAAACAAAGTCATCCTGAGACCAACACATAGTTTTTGTTACAATCGTCATCGCAGTAGAAAAATTCCGTTGTGCACCATTTGTTTTGTTTGGCTTCCACATTGCAAGTTGGTACAATGGGAACAGTCGGTTGTTGTGCCAGTCCATTGTTGCGCAAACTGTAGTTGATTGTCATGTTGGTGTTGTTTCTGTTTTATTTCGGCTGTGTGGATTGGGATGCAGGATCTGCCATACATTTGGACCGCTATCCGGTACCAGTTGAAAACCTGTTCTCACTTTTCACCCTTCAGAACGACTACATCTCCGTTAGCGTCTCCCCAGCACGAACAAAAAGGTTCCCCAAAAATCCAAGGACATGTGCTAATATTTTACTATTTGACCATTCAACATACTGATTGGCTGGTTTCCTTAATGACTTCTAGTATGGTATTTCTGTACAGATAGGTTGACGATTTTAGAAAACGGGCGCGGTGAAGTCAAGCCCAAATTGACTACATCTTGAAAATGCGTCTGTGCCTCGTCCAATACGTAGACTCACGTAAAATGGTACGAAAACAGAAACGTACTGATTTAGCCCAATCACTTTTCCAAAACTCACCACACTATCACTGTACGATGGCGAAGTCAAACAAGAGGCGAATGCAAGAGTCCCCTTGTAGGGTAAGTGTAGAAGACAAAAGGGCCAGAAAGCCAATTGTTGAAGAGTTGGCAAAATGGCTCATTGATCTCCAGGAAAGGTGATTTTTGAGATGTAGTCAAAAAAAATCACGTAGCTCTAGTACTTTTTTGCGTGGCGCGGATATTTGTGACCTTTCGCCAAAAATGGACCAAAAACCACCTATCTAACCAAGCAAACCAATCTTGGAATTATGCACCTACCAGCATTCTGACTACATCAGCAGGTAGATTGGACATTTCTACTTAAGGGTATGAGGCGGCAGAACTACCACAAGTGGGGTTGTGAAGTCAAAATCGTGGTCGGAAATTTGGGAGATGCAGTCGTTCTGAGGGGTGTGAGCCTGCCGCCTGGTTTCTTCCGTGAGGGATTCTTTCTTGGTGCGACTCTGGTGGTGAAGCTGGTCTTTTGGATTGCGCGCGAAGCGTGCGGTTCCAAAAGGCCAGTCTTTGATATTTACTTGCCTACTAGGCCTTGCAGAAACGTAGAATGCGTCGATGTAAGGCCTAACAGGGATGTGGAGGGAGGGAAAGAAAGAAAAAAACCATATTTCTTGATGTGTACTCGCACACAAGTTTGATAAACTGATCGGACTCGGTGTTGCTGAGCAATGCTGTTGTGACGGTCATTTGACCGTTGTATGATGAAAGGAATCCAATGATTTGTTCTTGAGCTTTTGTCTACATTAGAGAAGCCTATCAAAAAGTTTCTCCGGATTTGGATTTAGGATCTGCCATACGTTTGCACCGGAAGCCTAGAGGCTCTGTCCAAATGTACCATGATCCTGCGCGTAGAATTCTACATTGTCAGAAGTGATCAGCAAAACGTTTCTCCGATGAGCCCCGGACATAACCACAAACAACAAAACTGCAAGCAGATGACATCACTGGTGAAGAATTTGACAGCAAATGCAACTGAATAGATTACAATTGGCAAAATGAGGTAAGCTCATCAACGAGCAAATTCTCACAGTACTATGATGCCATTTGATGATTCCATGACATCAACAAAAACAGGAGATTTTGCATTTTCATACATCCTTTTTCCTGCAGGTGGCGCCTTTGCCAATTTTTCTTTGCTGGTTATGGTAATCGTGATATTACATATGGCAGACATTGTGCATTTAAGCCACAAACTTGGGATTCGTTTGTTGAGACATGTCTCTCAATCAGGATCCCATTAAGAGTTACAAGTTTGTTAGTGTAGCTCCCTGCAAATCTACCAGGATCCTACTCAGTAGAAATAACGTAGATTGGACAAGTC